TACTGTGGAATCATTTGTGCTGTCTGAGCTTCGTTGTTTTCTTGCAAACATTTCATTACCCAACTAGGTAAGGTCTTCAGTGCTAGTTGGATAAAGTTCTGTTTAAATACTTGTTTAAACTCTGTTTAAAGACACCCACATATTATCTGAAGGACTACTAATCTTGACTATTTCAAAGATAATGCCTAAAACTATGTAGCTTTTCAAATTTATAATTCATTGGGGTATACATAGAACAGATAGTGGCGTACGTTATGCTTTGGGACAAAATTGCTCTTCATCTATGAAAATGACCTTTGTGGTTTATTCTGTTTCTTAAATGTGTAATGCTGGATGTAATTCTAGAGAGAGTCAACCAATCACCAAACCATATGCATTCTTCTTTGGAAGTAAGCCCATTGACTTCAGGTCAATATGTTCCAAGTATACTCTTGATAGTAGTTTCCCTCTGGTACTTCTCACTGCTAGGAGAATGTCAAGAATCCTAAGCATGCCCCTCCAACACACTGAGATCAAGACACCCATTGCAATCTCTCTGGCAACCTGCTTGGAGTGTTGGTGCTGGATAATCAGAAAAGAAAGTGTGAGTCACCCTCCTTTTTGGGTTGAAATGAGAATTGGTGCCTCATGCATGAGCTGAAGGAAAACTGCTTATCATTTAAGTACCATATAACTAGATTTGGAAATTACCATCCCTGCTTTTTCTGGAAAGATTACACAAAAGAACAGCTGTAAAATGGCTTGTCTTCCCATTTTAATGACTTCAATTAATTAATTGCTTTGTTTCAAGCAGTTGGCTACTTTCCAAACAATTAAAAAAAAGTTTCTTGCCTTGAAAATCCATAATTAACCATTTGGATTGATTTACCATTTCCAGCATGACTTCTGACAGAAGGAGCGAAATATATTGAACTTTCTAGCCTATTCTAAAATAGAGCTGGGGCTGGCATATAGATGCTTATTAGGTATTCCGAAGGTATTGAGAATAATTGCTCTGGACCCTGTAATTGCTCTCTTCATCCAACCAGCTCCACTTTTTCAGGCTTTCATGTGGCTCTGAAAAAACAAGTTGCAGGTACTTGAAGGACTCAAAAGCAACAGCAGTTTTTTCAGAACCTTTTGCAGAACCTGTGAAAATATGGGACTTCTTGAATAAGTACTATGCTCTGCTCATTCTTCTGTGAAGTACTCATCTGAAACATTTTGAATGCATGCTCCACCCTACAATTCATGTTCTTAAAAACCTCCACAGTGCTGGAGCACCCGTAACTTCTGGAGGCAAGTGGAGATGATGGACGCTGGAATGATATTGGTCTTGTTCCAGCTGTTCTGCCCGAGATCTCACCTGGCCAATCCCACCCCTGCAGCTGTTCTTCATACCACATTTGCTTGTTGTCTCCTGACTACATTTTGTCTAACTTGCTTTAATAGACATGCCAGATGCTGGGAGAGAGAGAGAGCCCTTGCCAGGAAAAGAGGCGTCTCTCATATAGTTTGACTCCAGTATATACAGTAGGTGAAAAAGCATCGCTTTGTTTATGCAACACAAATCACCAAATGAATTGAAACAAGTAGTGATTAAGGATCAGGCAGATTGCTTAATGACTGGCAACAGAAGATCATGGGTGTCATAAGGACTAACCACAACCCCTGTCTGCTGCCCTCAAGTGCCATCCTATTACTTCATTGGGATTGAAACATGCAATTGTTACATCAGCTGGCTTCTGTACATGGAATGGAAAAAAGAGAGTGGTGTAAATGTAGAGATGCTACACAGATCTCAATATCATTCTGCCCAGAAGATTTTAATATAAACACAATGTACGTGTTCCTTAATTATGAGATAATTAATTTGCCTTTTTTTAATTTAAGGATGCTCTTGTCCAAGGAAGAATAATATAGCAGGTAAAGGGAGCGGGAACAAAGCTTTTGGAGCATTTTCATTCTCTAAGTTAAATAAAAGAAGCACCATCTGTAACCCATCAAAAGTTTAGACGAGGTTTAGATGAGGAATGAAACCAAAATTTTCTTTTTGAATTATGTTTTGTTAGTTGAAAGGGGAGTTAAAGAGCAAGAGGGAGTTTGGAGCCTACAGAAAGTTAGCTTATTTTAGTTTATGTTTGTTAAATGTTATACCCTGTATTTGCTCTGGGAAGTCCGGGGTGGGGGGTGGGGGTTGGAGGGAGAGGGGGATGAGGGATGGGGGGTGGGTGGAGGAGGGATGGGGGGAGGAGGGATGGAAAAATTGTTGTAATATTTGATAAAACTTTTTAATAATAATAAAAAAAGTTTAGATGAGGTCCCCAAGCTTTTAAAAAATGTTTCTCAGCCTGCTTTGCTCTCACCCACCATTATTATAATAATACCTGTATCCTTCCTCCCTTAACTGATTGGGGTTTATTTATTTATTAGTTTAATTTATATGCCGCCCTTCTCCGGAGACTCAGGGCGGCTTACAATGCATTAAGCAATAGCCTTCATACTTTTGCATATACCTGCTTAGTAGGGCTTTCGCCCTCCCCCCCCCAGCGGTGTTCTTTTTTTTATCAAAGTCAGCTTATTGCCCCCACAAACTGGGTCCTCATTTTACCTACCTCGAAAGGATGGAAGGCTGAGTCAACCTTGAGCCTGGTGAGATTTGAACTTGCAGTAATTGCAGGCAGCTGGTGCTATTTAACAGCACTTTAGTCTGCTGCGCCACCAAGGCTCTTTTTACCACCCTATGCAACCCCAATCAACACTTTAGTCCAATATTAAGGGATGCATTACATACATTCAGGTATGTAATGCATACCTGAAAGCCCACCAGTCACTCAATCCTGATTTATTTACTGGATAGCCCTAAATAGTAGCAATTTTCTTTGGCCTATGAAACTGTGTTTCCGATGGCTAAAAAAGGGAACAAGGCCCACTCTGCCCAGTAGATATTTTTAACATGCAAAGGATCAAATACTCCTTAAAAAATTCATCATGGATCAGGATCACAATATAAGAAGAAAGATGGCATAAGGAGAAGGAAAACTTTTAGGAGGGGCACACCTGTAGTGCCTTTATTTACCGTTCAATTAATCAAAGAATGTTGCTTAACATAATTAACAACATTAAATTGCAGATACACGTCCAAGATGTTTTACTTCAGATATGTATGATGGAGACTTTGGGTTTCATCAACAGACATACCGTTAGAAGTTGTAGAAGACAGGATAATGCATAAAAATACTATTGCAAAACATTTTAAAAATAACAATTTAGAAGAACAGAAAGAGTTGGAATCATTTGCTCAGGACAACGAAGACGTCAAATATTTCTCTCCTAAGAACAACTTTCTGTGTGCTTTAAGCCCCAATATACAGATTAATGTCAACAGTTAAACAAGGAGGCATGAAATTTAAACTCCAATCATGAGTTAAGGAAGAAAATCTTAAAAAATGAAGAAGAAAACACTGCCAATCTTTTAAATTGGGCCTTATTTTTCATGTAAAAAATGCAACCTAGCACAGCTTGAAAGTTTGGATTTGATTGCTGATCTTATTTCTATGGAAGGTGGGGAAATACTTTAGGAAGTAAATCTATCTTTACTTTGTGTTACCCATATGATGAAAAGCTATATAGACAGCACTGCCACGCAGGAAAAATACAAAGTGGTTTTTTTTTTTTTTTTACTTTTACTAGAAAACAAATGCAGGGGCAGTGATTCATTTCTTATGCAATTGAGAAGATGCTAGTCAAATATCAATCCCCAGCAAAGTAACTTGGGAGTAAACTCCACTGAGTCCAGACAGACATACTTTGGCTTCAATACACCAGGCAGTTGTTGTTGCCTGTGGTCGATGTTGCTGGAAAAAGGAATCATTTTAGAGGGAGAATACAGCCGGAAGTATTTGCCAACAGCTAGGTTGGGTGGGGCTGCAGCAGTAACTAATAATTTTTTCCAGAGCCTATAAATGCAGCTCTTGATGGAATTTGGGAGCCTAGATTTATGTTGATTCATGTATTTTTTTCAGTTTAGGGATAATGAATTTCAGCAAGGCTTCAAATTGTACCAATTTATTAGATATTTTGTGTATGTTCTACGTGTAAAGTCGTCAGCAAGGAGAAAATAATACTCAAAACATACTAAAAATGAATGAATTATTAATATGCAATGAGGGGGAAGTGTGAGAGCTGCACTGATTGCAGTACAGGTAATCCTTGACGTACATCATTTGTTTACTGACTGTTCAAAGTTACACCACCACTGAAAAAAGTGACTTTTTTTTTTTTTTGCTTTAATTTATATGCTGTCCTTCTCTGGAGACTCAGGGCGGCTTACAATGCATTAAGCAATAGCCTTCATACTTTTTGTATATTTATACAAAGTCAGCTTATTGCCCCCACAATCTGGGTCCTCATTTTACCTACCTTTGAAAGGATGGAAGGCTGAGTCAACCTTGAGCCTGGCGAGATTTGAACTTGCAGTAATTGCAAGCAGATGTTAATAACAGTGTACTTAGTCCACTGTACTACCAAGACTTATGACCATTTTTCACACTTACGACCACTGTAGCATCCCCATGGTCACCTGATAAAAATTCAGACATTTGGCAACTGACTCATATTTATGACGGTTGCAGTGTCCCGGTCATGTAAATCACCTTTTGGAAGCAAAGTCAATGGGAAAGCTAGATTCACTTAACCGTGTTCCTAACTGAGAAACTGTAGTGATTCACTTAGTTGTGGTAAGAAAGGTTGTAAAATGGAGCAAAATTCACTTAACCAATGTTTCACAGTAAAGTTTGGGCTCAACTGTAAGTCAATGACTATTTGTACTTAAGTTTATAGTCCACTTTTCCTTCAGGGAAGAAGGTATCCCACCGTCCCCACTTTGCTCCGCGTTTAATTCCCAACAAGTCTACTTTTTCAAAAGCTCAACGGGAAGAATTTCTTTAGGCCCGTCCCAAACCCACCACTCCCAAAACCTTCAATCTCTCCCCACCCCCTCGCTTCTCGCGCATACCAACCTGGAAGATGAGCACCTTGAAGTGGTTGCGGCGCAAAAGCTGCGCGTGGTTGTGCTCCAAGCGCTTCACCTGGGCGCACTGGCGGTCCATGCGATCGCGCACCTCGCGCGTGTTGGCGCTGACCTTGCGCGACTTCTCCAGCAGCTTGGCCACCGTGTTGCTGGTGGACGTGTGGTTCTTGCACAGCTTGCTCAGGTCGCTCTGGATGCCCTTGACCGAGCCCTCCAGATCGATCTGCCGCTGCTCCATCTTCTGCTGCTTCTCCTGCACCGAGTCGAGCATGTTCACCAGCTTGTCCAGGAGAGTCAGCACCGTGATGGCGTTGACTTGCGAGCTGTCCCGAATCGCTTCGCCCGGCGCTGGCGGCAGCAAGCTGGGGCTGCGGCTGCCCGAGGGCACCGGGCTGGGATTGCTGGCATCCAGAGGCCCATCGGAGTTGGGGGAAACGTAGGCGCTGCTCTTCTCCGCTTGCACTCCGTCCTCCTCCATCGCGCCGAGGCTAGGAGACGTTGGGCCGCTGCGATCTTTCGCAGTGTCTTCTCGAGGGCAGGAATGCAATCTGCCCCAACGCCGAGCTCCTCAAAGGCTTCTTTGCAGTAGCCGAAAACTTGAGAAAAGCTCGGCGCGGCCCCGCCCTTTCTAATCCCCAGATTCTGAAACCAGGAAGGGTTCAAGCCCGGAGTTCGTCGCCTGCAGGTTTAAATTTTCCCCCTCCGTCCCTCCCTCGCCCTTTCCTCCTCGCCCTCTTTTCTTTACGGGCGGAATGTCATATTTCACTCATGAGTTCACTGGCAAAGGCGGGGGCAAAAAAGGAAAAAAAAAAAAAAGAGGGGGAAAAAAAACCTCCACAGGCCTGGCTCGCCGCCGCAACCCGCCATTGGTTAAGGCCAGCCGTGTAAACTTTCGGGCGGGCTGCTCTGCTGCGGAGACAGCGCAAGGGATCCCCTCCCAGTGTTCCCTTCCTGGGGTGTGTGTGTGTGTGTGTGTGTAGGTTTTTTTTTTTTTTTAAACGACTTTATAGAAAGGATTGTTTGCGTTTGCCCTTTCTCTGGGAGAAAACAAGGAAATGGCCGAGGGAAAGTACAACACGAGAACATATGATTTATGTGGGGAGACGACGAGGATTTATTTCGAATGGGAACATGAACTGCGGTCCCGCTATTCCTGATCCTATCAAAACTGCCCCTTTGCCTAAGGAGTGTGGAGGGGGGGGGAAGAGGGGGCGGAGGATCATCAATCATCTTCCTGCTCAGGTTGATTACATTTTGAAAGTACATGAAGAATACAAACCAAAGGTGGAAAAGAAAAACCTTGGAGGGAAGGGAGGGGGGGTGGATACCGACGCCTGCGTTTCAGTTTGGACAAGTGCATCCCGACTTGACTAAAAGCAGTTAAGCAAACCATCCCAAACATACAGTAGCGGCCAAAATTGTGGAAACCTTTTGGGGAAAGTATATTTTTGAGGTTTGATGGCTAATGACACCACTTTTTTTTTCCGAGTTTCAAGATAATCATATTCCACTGCTGCAATGGCCTGGGAATAGCCCAGACCTTAACCCAATTGAAAATCTATGGAGCCGACTAAAGAAACCTGTTAGTCAGAAGTGACCCAGCAATAAAGCCCAATTAATAGAAGCAATCATTCAACCTTGGTTTCACATTATAAAAGCTGCAGAACTAAAAGACTTGGTTCATTCCATGGGAAGACATTGTAAGGCCGTAATTCATGCTAAAAGTTACCCAATTAAATATTAACAGACATGATAATTTTTGTATATCTCATTTTTTTATGGTGATAATTTTTGTATATCTCGTTTTTTCTATATGTTTCACTTTTCTTTTTTATACTGTGCTATTCTAATAGCAAATCCTTCATAAAAGTTATTGCATTACATTCTTGATTAAATTATCTTTCCATTGATATATAATTTTATGGTACTACTACAAAAAAGTGGTGTTATTAGCTAGTTTTAGAAATTACACTTTCCCAAAAGGTTTCCACAATTTTGGCCACTACTGTAAAAGGACTGAGGCCTGCTTTTGCACCTGGCTAATCCAGGCATCCTATTAGAAGTCTCCACCATGCAATCAGGAGTATTGCCTGTTTGAGAATCCTCAAGAATTCAAGGAGTCAGTGGGATTTGTGTTCAAAGTTGATCTGGATTGAAACAGTCCACTTGATTTGCAGTAAAGAGATAGTGTATATTCTTAATCTTCTGCCACAATTTTAGTGGTTATCTGGATTTTTGTAGTTTAGTGGTTATCTGGATTTTGTAGTAGGCAATAGTTTAGCCTATTGAAGGGTTCATAAGAGGGCACTCACTAAATAGAGTAGAATTGTATCTGCTACGTTCTCTATTTCATCAGTCCAATAAATCCCTGGTACATTCAGTGTATGGTATCTTTACTTGATCGGTTGAATGAAAGTAGACTGCACCTTGAATTATCCCTATTCCAAATTTCTGTACATTCCTGTTCTGGAATAAATCTGTTGGCAAATCGGAAAAGAATAGATCCTTTGAAAAGGCTATTGGAATTAACTGAGAGTTACTTGAGTTCATATAAACGAACAGAATGACTGGCAAGTTATCATTGGTGGAAGTAGATACCCAAAGGAATGTACTGCAGCATCTCCAGGATTCCTATAGAAAGCTTACTTTTCTTTGAAGGAAACAACGGAGCTGTAAATTTTACCAAATTGGGGATTCAGAAGTCCAAATCACCACCATATGGCACTTTAGATAGAAAATTCCTACTCTATGCTGTTACATTGTGGTCAATTGACATTTTGCAGGTAGTTACGCTGCATTTGGTACAACTATTTTTCTAATGAGCTTATTTGGTGAGGGAATTGTCCTGTAAATTTTAGGCGATAGAGGTAGTCCTCAGTTTACAGCTGAAGTTGAGCCTGGAATTATGGTTATAGATCATGTTGGTTGCAAGTAAAGGTCAAGTAAAGGCTTTTGTGGCAAAAAAAAAATTGTTTTTCTGTAAATGCAGGACAGTTGCTAAGCCCCCAAAATATGATCATATGCCCCCCTGGCCATCAGAACTTTGAATCTGGTTCATAAATACTTTTTTTGGTCTGTGTCTGTTGTAACTTTGAAGGGCCACTATGTAACTGGTTGTAAATCAAGGACTACCTGTAGTTAGTTTAGCTTTTGTTATAAGTTATCTTGCTGGGAACCTGTTGAAGGGTAGATAGTACTGTAATAAATAAATATACTTACGGTAGCTTGTATTTCCTCTGATAACAACCTCATACTGTATGTCTTGTGCATGGAAAAACATGCAGGCGTTTGTTTTCCTATGCACAACTTGTACTACTTCTTGAAGATAACCTAGATTCCCTCTGGTCTCTTAGGTTAATAAATGTGTGCATCTAAATTATTTTGAGCTGCTTTATAGGGTAAAAAGCCCTTTAAAAATGATTTACAAAGCAGGAATGTAGGAATTTACTTCCTCGCCCCTTTGTCTTTTGGCAATTGTAGATACTGAGTTTTTGTTTCTTTCAGAAATGTGTAGGTAGTTGAACCAGGGGTGAAATCCAGCAGGTTCTGACAGGTTCTGGAAAACCAGTAGCGGAAATTTTGAGTAGTTTGGAGAACCGGTAGTGGAAATTTTGTGCAGTTCAGAGAACCGGCAAATACCACCTCTGGCTGGCCCCAGAGTGGGGTGGGAATGGAGATTTTGCAATATCCTTCCCCCAAGAGTGGGGAAGGAATGGGGATTTTGCAATATCCTTCCCCTGGAGTGGGGTGGGAATGGAGATTTTGCAGTATCCTTCCCCCGCCACGCCCACTAAGCCACACCACGCCCACCAAGCCACGCCTACAGAACCAGTAGTAAAAAAATTGGATTTCACCACTGAGTTGAACTGTATCTAGTCAGTGCACTAGTTGATAAACAGATTCAAAATGCTTGATTTTTGCATGGTGTGAATATTTTGGGAATCTTGACTGATAGTATTTTTCTACAGCTTTTACAAAACGATTGCATCTTGTATGGCTATTACTATTACTGCTAATGGTGATAAATCTGGCATTTGCCTGTTTATTTTTAGAAGCACGTTATTAAAAGTATTTCTTAAAGACTGCCTTTTAAACAGTTGAAAAAGCTTAATATTAGTTTCACTGACTAATCTCCAAAACATTTGAAGATGGTAATGTATATCTTTATAACATCAAATGCTTCTTTGCACGAGGCAATAAGTTGATGACATTCTTCATGTCAAAGCTGTTCTGCTTGTTTTTGCAGATTTCTACAAAGGAATGTAGGTCTAGCTTTGTTTGTTGTTTTGTTTGGTGTTCGGGGCCTCTGAGTTGTCCTGGCAATTCCTCCAGGGGACTTTTTAAAATGGAAACTTAATGAAAAAGTGTTCTTCGTTCTGAATATTTTCTCAAGTATATATATGCAGCAGGAAAATAATCTTTGTTAGATCCATTAGTAACTATAAAATTATGCTTAAACTATTTAAAGTTCTGCTTCTTCTTATTTGCAATCATGATAGACATTTTGAACAACGTTTAACTCGGAAGACATCATGGTAACACCTGGCTGGGTGAAGATCAGAGGTGGGTTCCACATATTTTTACCACCGGTTTGCCGTGCGCGCACACGCTTGCTTTGTGTGTGCATACCTTCCACACATGCGCCCAGCCTTCTGTGCATGTGCTTTGCTCACATGCACGCCTTCCATGCATGCACCCGGCCTTGAAAACGTGGCTAAATAGGACAGCATAGCAGCGGGGTGGCGGGGGCACCCACAAACTGGCTGAATACCACCTCTGGTGAAGATTCATTTGTGAAAGCTCACTCCTTCGGGCCTTGCCCAGAGAACTCTTATTTGAATTAGAAAACAATTAATTTGAGTCTTAAAAGATATTAAGAAATCATGCTGAGAATGATTTTTTTAAAAAAAGGAGTCATCTGGTTGGAAGACACTACTTAAGTTGTTGAGTCCAACCCTCTTCCCAGCTAAAATTCCTTAACAGGGTGCTGTCCAGCCTTTTATTTTGCTCATTCAGAGAAAGAGATTAAGCCATCTATGTTTCTGAGGTACTCAAAATGGAATCGGAAATCTGTTTTCCTATAACTAAGAACCACTGTTCTGGGTTCTTCTTTGAAGGGCAGAACCAGCCTTGATCTTCTGAGATGTTATTCAGTTACTTGAAAAATGCAGTTCAGACCCAAGAACACCTTATCAAAAATTGATACCTAGCTAGTTCTCTCAATCTCCGCTCTACTGTATATAAAATGCACACGTACAGGTGTATATTAAGGGAAGTGCAGAAAGGAAGGAAAATTGCTTGCAAAATATGTACACTAAGGAAAAGATACACTTTAGAGCGCACATCATTGGAAGCTTTTCAACATATTGCACAGGTTTTCACATGGATTTTTTTTTTCCTGATGTGGAAACAAGCTGAAATGGATTCAAGGATGGAAAAATGTCAAACCGATTCAAAGTAACATTGATATACATAATAATTCTTGTTGAAAATATGTACATGCAAACTGAAGTAACTTCCTCTTGAGTAAATGTACTGCAGAAAACTTGCATTCCAGAAAGCTTCTGCTTCCTAGAAAGACCTGAGATAATAAATCAGTTCCATCATCAGCACAAAAGAAATATTATGTGAGTTTTGTTTAAAAGGATCATGGAGGATTTTATTTGACCAGGTTTAAAAATAGACTTGACTTAGTTTGAACTTCCTGGGCTGCTGTACAGATTGGGACACAGTGATTCTTTGAAGTTCCAACTTTTGTGAAGCAGTTGCTGGTTAAAAAAACTGTCTAAAAAAGTGTATGTTAGGACATTTGTTTTTAAATGTTTTCATTAGGAAAATAAAGGCATAAACAGCATGTTAGAGAAGATCTCTCTTAAAGTAGATAC